GCAAAACAAGCCCAAGTGAGGGCTGATATAGCTTCCTTTCAAATGTATGATGGAGAAAGTCTGTATGAAGCGTGGGAACGCTTTAAAGAGTTGATACGAATTTGCCCGAATCATGGAGTTTCTGATTGGGGCATCATTCACACGTTTTATCATGGCTTAACCCTACCATTGAAAGCAACTGTTGATGCAGCTGCAGGGGGAGATCTTTTGGATTTTACTTATCCAGAAACCTACCAGTTGTTGGAAAAACTTTCAAAAAAACATATTTCATGGCCTTCCACACGACACAATGCTCCTAAGAAAGCAGGAGTTCTTGAGCTAAGCTCAGCTGATGCTCTTTCAGCACAAATGGCTTCGCTCCAGAACACTATAAAAAACTGGAAGCCCATGGAACAGAAAAAACCAACTGAGCAACTTCTCTTGACTCAATTAAGTCAGAGTAGCCCCACTTGTGGAGGTCCTCATGAATATGAGGACTGTAACAATCTAGCTGCTGTGTGCTATGCAGGAGGGTATGACAACAACAACAGGAGCAATGACAACTATCAAGGGAACAATAACCGAGGCTGGAGGAATCAGAATAATGCTGGAGGTAGTGGAGGAAACTACCAGAACCGACCCCTGTATCCCAGGCAGAACCAACAAAACTGGGATAAGGGTGAAGGGAAGTCCCAATCCTTTGAGACTTCTGTCAAGGAGTACATGAATCAGAACAGCGCAGCCATGCGAAACCTAGAAACCCAAATTGGTTAGCTGGCTAGAGCACTCAAACATAGGCAACCAGGAACACTCCCTAGTGACACAGAAAAGCCATCTCAGGATAACCAGGAGCATTGTAATGCTATAAGCCTACGAGATGGAAAGACTTTACCACCCCCAGATTTAGTGGCACGACCTCGAAAGCGCGAACCAGCAAAACAGCCCATAGGAAAGGAAGTTGAAGAAGCCACTGACCCTTCACACCTTGAAGCTCAGACAGGACCAGAAGAGAAGGTCCAGAGCAATGAGTCTGCTGAAATCAAACCGGATGATGCAACACCTGTAGCAGACCTTGGAGCAACAAAAGTCAGTGAACCAGTTTCAGTTCCAACTTATGTTCCCCCATGCAAGAGAAGGAGTGAACCGATTGAGCCTCCTTTTCCACAGAGGTTGAAAAAGCAACACGAGGATAAGCAGTTTAGCCAGTTTCTTGACTTGATGAAACAACTTCACATAAACATTCCTCTAGTAGAAGCTCTGGAGCAAATGCCTTCGTATGCAAAATTTATGAAGGACATTTTGTCAAAAAGAAGAAAGATTGAAGAGTTTGAGACCGTAGCCCTCACTCAACAATCGTGCAAGTACCTGACTAAAATTCCTCCCAAACTAAAGGATCCTGGTATATTCACCATCCCGTGTACAGTTGGGAAGAACTATCTTGGTCGGGCACTTTGTGATCTGGGCTTAAGTGTAAATCTAATGCCAGCTTCCATCTTCAAGCAGCTTGACATAGGAGCAGCAAGACCAACCACAATCACTCTTCAACTTGCAGACCGATCTATAGCCAAGCTAGAAGGAAAAATTGAGAATGTCCTTGTCCAAGTAGACAAGTTCATTCTACCAGCTGACTTCATCATCTTAGATTTTGAAGCAGATCAAGAAGTTCTAATAATTCTGGGCAGACCATTCCTGGCTACCGGTGATGCTATCATAAATGTCAGAAAGGGTGAACTTTCTATGAGTGTAAACGGAGAAGAAGTGAAGTTTAATGTCATGAAAGCAATAAAGCTTGGTGAAGATAACACTGAGGAATGCTCTAGCATTTCGATCCTGAACTTGGTCATAAGAGAAGAACAGTAGGAGCATTTGTAGCCAAAGATAGGCATGAAGGACTTTGAAGAGCTGGAAGAATACCTTGCATCCATCAGTTTCAACCAACCCCAGGGAAGGAAAGAAAGGGTCTTTGAATCCTTAAACCGATCAGAGCAGGAGCAAAGACCGAAATTGCCTTCAGTAGAGCAACCACCTACCTTGGAGTTAAAACCCTTACCTGAACACCTGAAATATACTTATTTGGGTAAAGACAACACTCTCCCTGTGATTATTTCTTCTTTGCTAACCCATGAACAGGAACTTCAACTCACACAAAAGCTCAAAGATTACAAAGGAGCAATCGGCTGGACCATGGCTGACATAAAAGGAATTAGCCCAACAATTTGCATGCACAAGATTTTGCTCCAAGACCCTGACAGCTCATCTGCGGAGAATCAAAGGAGGCTGAATCCCAATATGAAGGAGGTGGTAAGAAAAGAAATCATCAAATGGCTTGATGCAGGTATAATCTATCCCATCTCAGATAGTAAATAGGTTGCTCCTGTGCAATGCGTTCCAAAAAAGGTGCATATTGTCTTTGTTTGTGAAAATTAATGTGCTAACCATTGTAGGAAGCTAGTTTTGGGGTTGCTCTTGAGCAACCTGATCCCAAAAGCAAGGAGCAACCAACACTTAGAATTTGATCCCTCAATGTTGAAACCAAGTTCTAATTGGGCTGATCCACTTGCCCCTTTTAACCCAAGGGCCTGCAATGGGCCGCATATGAAAAAAGAGAGAGAGAAAACCGAGTGGCGGAAGCAACGGAAGGATAACAGCTCCACGTCGTTCTGTCACATCCCTCCAATCAAACGGCAGTAGCAGTTTCAAAAAGAAGAGACCGTCAGAGCAGAGGACAGTTGCTTTCCCCCAGGCATTTATGTGCAGCAGACGCTCTTCTCCCCCCATATCCACCTCTCAGCAAAGCCACGATCACCACCATACAGAGCGTTTTAACCTTCCCATCCTCTCCTTCGTTCCTTTATAAACAAACACAGAACTATTATTTCATTCTCATAATCTTTTCTCCTTCAACCCACAAAAATCCAACCTTTACTCTCCACTCCATCCCTCCTACTCAGAACCTTACACCATGACACGTCCAAAGGCCATTATACCTGTTGCTTCTATCTCCAAGAAGAGGACCCGAACAGGGAAAAAGCTCAAGCCTGAGCAAACCGCAGTCGACCGCACAGTCATACCAGAACGGGGCATAGTCCTTAGTAGCTCCAAACACGGAGATCTCGACCGATGGCTGACCGAGGATATAGCAGAACTGGATTGGGAACTCTTCGTTGAGCCTCCCTCAAGAGCTCGCACCGAGTTCGTGACTGCATTCTTGGAGGGGATGAAGAAAGAAGATCTCCCAAAACTCCTCATCAGAGGCGTGAAAGTAGACTTCTCCCCTGAAGAAATCAACAAAGCATACAACATTGCTTCAGTTCCTGCTGAACAAGATGAGTTCGATAGATACTGTGTTGGCCGAGGAGATGAGGCCATAACTGGAGAAGTGCTCCAAGAAATAGGCTCAGAAAGAGCAACCTGGGGAACCAAGGAATCCATCCCTATGAAGCAACTCAAATTCGAAGCAAAGGTATGGATGCATTTTATTAACTCCCGTCCGATTCCCGTGAGCAATGACTCTAGAGTAAACTGGGAAAGAGCAGTGCTGGTCTTCTGCATCTTGACTAAGACGAAGTTTGATGTTGGGAGGATTGTTTACAAACAACTGGTGGCAAATGCACCAAGAAACTCCCCCTTCTTTTTCCCTTGTCTGGTCACTGAAATGTGCAAGAGGTCTGGTCTAAAGGCCAATATCCCGATTTCGGATGAAATCATTCTAGAAGGGTCGGACATTGATCAGTCCACGATAAAAAGAATCAGAGACAATGAAGGATTGGAAAGTGAGGAGGAAGAAGAAAAAGAAGAGAAAGAAGAAAAAGAAGGAAATGAGGAAGAAGAAGAAGCTGAAGTTTCGGGCAATGTGAAGGAAGAACCTCAGAAAACTCCAAGAAGGGGAAAACTTCCCTTTAAGAGAGCTCCTGCAAAGAGTGGACAAAGGCAGTTCCTAGTCGAGACAACTGACATGACTCAATGTCAAACTATGTTCGGTCTCGGAGCAGACCTTCTAGCCACTCAAGTGCAAGCCTTAGAAGACACAACTGGAAGGGAGCTGCAATATCTGAAAGAAGCCAACTTGCTCATTAACAAAGATAAGGTGGCCCTGCAGAATGAACTTGACCAGATAAAAAATGCTGGACCACTGCCTCTGAAAAGGAAGATTGAGGAAGGAGAAGGATCTTCAACCTTGCAAAACACGGTGAAAGACCTGGTGAAAGCAGTAGAGATGATGAACAAGAAAATGTAAGGAAGGGAGCAAGGCCACGAAAAAAACAGAAAAGATTGGAAGGTGGAGATCAGGCTCTTGAAAGATGAATTGATGAAGAACAAAGAGGAGGAAATTCAACTCCGATTGTACTACAGAGCTCGGGATCAAATCTTCGCCAGTAACTGGGGAGAAAAATTCAAGGGACAAACTCCATATCCACCGTTTCCAAATGTCTTCCCTCCAGAAGAAATAACAAATGCTCCGTTTAGCGGAGAAAGACAAGAAACTGGAGAGCATTAAGGGTCGCTACGGTGACCCCAGGTTCATTCGTTCCCTATCCTTTTTAACTTGTTTAAATCTGTTGGAATGAATGCCTGAAATTTTTGTGGTGGAATGTTACTGACTTTGTTCTTAGATAAATGACTTTTGTGGTGTACCAGGGTTTCGCCACCATGTTTTACTTTTTTTATAAAAATATTTTTTTTAATTTTTGCTAAGTTTACCGTCCTAAGTGTCCTGATCTACTCAGTGATTCTTTTTGCCCAGGATTTTGCTCCTTGAGATGCCCTAAAGAGTTTACAGTTTCTAACAAAGCAACATAGGGCATCACTCTGATTTGGAGCAACACCATGCACAAAAAGCAGCACTCCAAAAATCGGACACTCTGTTATTCAGTTGACTTATTGAGTTACCAAGGAAAGAACTTCAGGCTGTTTAAGTAAACTACTCTGCCCCTGGTTTAAAAAAAAAAGAAGGGTCAGCTCCTCTGCTCCAAAAATTTCGCTCAAACAGCTCAAGTCATCAAGGTGAGAGCAATAGCTGCTCAAAGAGCATGCTGTTGAAGGTCAGCCTTATGCAAAGACAAGGGTAATTGACTTCCAGTTAAAAGACCTGAAAAGAAAGAAATAGAGAAGGGAGCTAAGAAGTAAGAGAAGAAATCAAGCCAAAAAGTTCAATCCGGAAGCAACTCTGTGGGAAACTGACTAAAAGAGTGGAAGAGGTCACACACACAATGAAGCTGGTGAAACTCACAAGTCAGATGAGTGCTCTAATGAAGCGATGGAAGGAGTTAAGTCAACTCTTCATCGATAATCTCAAGGAGCATTAGCCTGCCACTAGAAGACTGTTGGTTGTGAAGGATTACTCGGGACGAGTAATATTTAGTTTTGGGGTGTTGATGGTCCTCAAGAGTTGAGGCCCATTAAGTGTAAATTGTTCCACAAAACCCATGTTTTGGTTATAAATCACTCCCTTCAACCTTCTTCTTTCCATATAGAGCAACTGTTTTGAATAGTGGACCAGAGCAATACCGAAAGTGGGAGTTAAGGTAAACCTGGAGGAAATTTAACATTATCTTTTTCACATATGACTATTGGGTTAGTTTGCTTTGTTCAGGACACCTAAGGCCCATCAGAAGGAACCACAAAATGAAAAGAGAAGAAGGAGTGTTGCGCAGAAAGGAAAAAAACAAGCCTGCTGTAGTACAACAGCAGTCAAAGGAAGCAATGGGAAGCCGCCACGTTAGCCACAGCAGAGAAGGTGGAGGTGCTACCTCTACTACAGTACGAAAGCAAAGAAGCTGAGCAATCAAAAGCCGCCACGTCAGCTGCAGCAGAAGGAGTGGAGGTGCCTCCCTGAATCCGATACTCCCACTCACAAAGGGAGCCAAAAGCAAGGGGGACCACTTCCATTTAAGGCCAAGCTGGCAAAAAGCAAGGCTACCATTGGAGAGGATTTCTATTCGGAGCTGAGCTGGCAAGAAGCAAAGCTACCATTGGAGAGGATTTAAACAAAGCACGACCCTTGATGAAAGGAACAATGAAGATCAAATGAAGAACCCTATATAAGGAACAAGCAATCCTCATAAAGGAAATCATGAGCGCCCATCCTAGGACTCGTCATCTCTTTGTTTTCTTATTGTAAAAATGCTCACTAGGAGCTAACTTCCTCTAAGACGGTGAGGGTTCCATAGAAGTAATCCCTTTTGTCTCAGGATAACTTTGTAAGGAACACATATTTTATAAATGAATTTTGAGTTGCTCTTTGGTTTAATTTATTGATTTTGTGAAACCCTTTGGGCTGGCAACCTCATCCCGGGACCACTCGGTTGATGAAACACTGACAAGGGCGTGTGGAGCATTCTTAAGATCCTGGGGTAGTTTAGCCTGAAGAAAGGAGGGAGAAACACCTGGAATGGGGAGCACTGCCATGTGAATCCATGCTCTTTTGAGAAGGCAGCATAGTTTCCTTGCATATAACTCCAAGTACTATGGAGTAACGTGGAGAGTAAGGCCTTACCCTCTGCTTACCTATAGCAAAACAGGGGAAGGAGCAAAATCTACTTGTAAAATATGCTACCAAGCAGGGTTAACCAAAGGGATGAAAACGTGGAACCCGTAACACCTACTTGACTTTTTCTGAAATTAATCTTAACTCAAACTTCTATCACAACCTTTTCCTCACGATAACTGAATTGTGTTTTACCAGCTGATGCTCTTACTTTCATTTCGTTGACTGCTCTTGAAGTTACTTAAATTGATGCCTTTTTATTCGATGATCGTGCTAAGTCATTCACTGCTCTCATCTGGTTCAGAATGGTTAACATTGTTTAACTAGCTGCCCAGAGATTGCTCTTTGTGAAACTTAGCTGAGAATAGTACTTTCTTTTATTGCTCCATTTTACAAATTAAGTTTCCTTTAGCGCTTCTTACTTCACAACTGCTCCCTGAGGACGATAAATCTTGGGCTACAATACCCTATATTGCTTGACACGTACGCTTGTGTATAGTTGAAGAGGGTTGCTCTTAGTCAGAGTAGATTGCTCCTGTTGGCAATCCTGATTATTACTCTGCACTCTTGCTCTCTGAAAAGATATTCCCGAGCAGCTCTCGGTTCGACCAAGCAATAACCCAATCACTAAGTCTATGGATATCAATTTGCTCAATTGACCCATGCCAATGTGTGTTATTCTTCTATGCCATAACCAAGAGTCATCTTCCTTACTAATCAAACATTTATCGTCATTTGAAGGCATACCATCTAAGTCTATCATATAAATGTTATCCACTCTATGACCAAGAAACTTAACTTGCCCATCAATTAGACTTTCAATTTTACAAGAGGTCGAGTCAAAAATAATTTTATAATTTTTATCACATAATTGACTAATGCTAAGCAAGTTATGGCTAAGGCCCTCAACAAGCAAAACATTTTCTATAGAAACGGAGGAGGAGTTACCAACTTTTCCAATACCGAGGATCTTTCCTTTGTTGTTATCTCCATAGGAAACATGTCCATGCTCTTTCTTGGTGAATGATTGGAACTTAGTTACTTCTCCCGTCATGTGACTTGAGCAACCACTATCCAAGTACCACTTGGAGCTTTTAGCCTTCAAACAAACCTACATCACAAAGTCAAGATTTAATCTTAGGTACCCACACCATGTTGGGCCCTTGTGTGTTAGTCTTGGGCTTAGTTCCCTTAGGAACCCACACTTTCTTTTGCCCAACAATACCATTCTTTCTAACTTTACAAGTGGATGCACTATGACCTTTTCCACCACAATGAAAACATTTAATGAATGGGCTACTTGTCATGTAGGATGGTGAAATGAAAAAAAATTTATATGATTTTTCTTGTGTGTTAGTGTCAAAGCCTAAACCGGATTTGTTGAACATGCATCTTTGTTTACCAAGCAACACATTTAAGTTGTCTCTTCCACATGTGAATTTGCTTAGAATTTCATTTAAATCATCAATTTCATTGTTTAGATCTTTGCATGAAGTACATGATGATGAAGATGCATGATCATTTGAAGATAGGCATTTAATACAACCAATGCTAGCATCAAGTAATTTGAGAGTTTCATTTTCATCCTTCAACTCTTTTACTTCCTTTTCTAAAGATGCAATTTGTTTTTCCAAAGAATTAATAGTTTTTCTTGATGCTCTAAGAGCTTTAACATGTATTAGTGTTTCATTATGCATTTCTTCAAACATGTCAGACAACTCATCATATGAAGGGGAAAGAGTAGAGCAAGATGAGTTTACCTCGGTTTCGGATTCATTTTTGTCCTCATTTGCCATTAGACATATATGTTGAGTTCCTTTGCTTGATTTCTCCGGTGGTCTTCCATCTTGCATGAAGCATAGATTTGCTTCTTCCATGGAATCATCATCAGAAGAACTAGATTCATTATCCCAAGCAAGATAAGCCTTCTTGAAGTTCCTTCTATCCTTGCCTTGCTTCTTTTCATATTCGTCTTTCTTTTGAATATTTGGACAATCCGATTTGTAGTGACCGGTTTTTCCACATTCAAAGCAAGTGATGGTAAATTGTGAGGATCCTTCATCTTTAGATCTTCTTCTAGGAGAAAATGCAGATTTCTTTGAAAAATTCTTCTTATAAAATTTTCCATACTTCTTTACGAAGAGACTCATCTCATCTTCGTCAAGACCATTTTCGGAATCTCCATCTTCTTTTTCCTCATCCTTCTTTTTGCTTGGTGTTGAGGCTTTCAAGGCAATTCCCTTGCTTTTCTTGATGGTTTGTTCCTTCAAGGTTATTCGAGTTAGCTCTATTTCATACTCTTGGAGCTTGCCGAACAAGGTTGCAAGATCCATGGTTTTCAAATCTTTTGATTTCGTAATAGCCGTCAGCTTGGGTTGCCATTCCCTATTGTACACACTTCTCATCACCTTAGCAATTAACTCAAGGTTAGTAAAAGATTTATCTAAAGCATTTAGATGAGTGACAAGGTGTGTGAGTCTCTTTTGCATACTTTGAATACTTTCATTCTCATGAATTTTAAACATTTCAAATTCTCTAGTGAGTGCATTTAATTTTGTAAATTTAACATCACTCGTTCCTTCATGGGTTATTTGAAGAATATCCCACATTTCCTTAGCATTCTTACAATTTGAAACACGAAAGTTCATCACGACCTAAGGCATTTGTGATCAAGTTTTGAGCTCTAGCATTCCAATTTCCTTTCCTAATTTCATCTTCAGTGTAATTTTCTATATCTTTAGGAATATCTTCATCCTTCTCATTTTTTATAGTAGGTGGTGTGTATCCTTTTTCAACTACACTCCATACTCTTAAATCATTAGATTGAAGAAATATTTTCATCTGACTCTTCCAATAAGAATAATCGACACCATTAAAAAATGGAGGTCTAGTACTAGATGATCCCTCAAGGGGCATATCATGGTTCAAAGAAGTCATCCCTTCTCTTGAAGCGGTTAAGCTCTTTACACAAGAGTTCAAGCTCTGATACCACTTGTTGGACAGGTGGCTTCAATACTCAAGAGGGGGGGTGAATTGAGTTTTACAAAATCTTTTCGCAAAGTACCTCCTTTGATGTTTTAAAGACTATTTCTTCAATAAAGTGATTTATTAAGGAAATGTCTAATTGTAAAAGCAAGTGTAATGATCAACAAAGTAAGCAAGCGAATATATAAAGACAATCTAAGATGCAATTTTAATACTTAAATAAAGAGATTAAGGTTAGAGAAATTACAAACTAGATGTATCCTGGTTCGGTCACAAACACCGTGACCTACGTCCAGACTGAAGCCGCTCGATCAATTCTTTTCACTAACTATCAAGCTTGAGGGTGTTTGACAAACCACTACAACTTTTCAAGACTTCGGGCTCTTGATGCCTTACACTTTTTCACTCCAAATTTTCTTAGGAATTTGGTAACCTCTCAAATATAGGGTTCACTCCCCTCTCAAATCAAGAAGTTATATTGAGGTGATTAGAAGTGGCTAAGTACTCTCAAAGTACAGATTGAACAAATTGAAGAACTAAGAGATGTATAACTTTAAAGGAAAGATGAGCTCAAGTGTATGCAATGATTAAAGTAAGTAATTTTTGAGCAATAAAAGGCTAGTAAGAGTAATAAAGCTTCAATAAATGCTATAGGGTCGTGTACTGTTCATCCCAACTGATGTGGGTATTTACAATGACACCTCCTATGAAAACTAGCCGTTTATAGCCGTTGTAATCCGTACATATCCGGATATTTGTCGGGCTCATATCCGGATATTGTATATCCGGATATTCTTGGTTACATATCCGGATATCTGATATCCAGATATTCAAAGTGATATATCCGGATATTTCGTAGCATCAGCCTTTTTGTACGAGTTCTGAGTTTCTACTCTTTCCAAATGGTTTTTATGACGTGTAATGCATGTTATTGGTTATGGAAATTATCTAGAAAAGTTTGTATCACATAGGTACTTCTTCCAAACCAAAATTGTACATATGAAACCATTTGTCTTGACTTTTCTTTTTAAGGATGCATGCTTTTGAAATATATGATTGATGAATGACCTTGAGCTCATGCAATGCTTTGTATCTATACATCTTTACATATTTATCCTAAGTCCTAAATGAGTATACCATTTTAGATTCTGGACTTGGATTGATGCTTGAGACTTGGTGCATGCTTTCACATTTGCTTTTTGGATATTGCTTCGTCTTTGAATCATTCCTCTTTGTTATCATCAAAACCATGTTGTCGTGGAATCATCAAGTATAAGTTGTATCCACATCATCACTTTGATTCATCAATCTCCCCTTTTTTGATGATGACAAACTTTAAATTGAGAAAGAGAGTTAGTGTTGCATAAATTCATTCAATTGAAATATAGTACTCCCCCTTAGTTCATGGCATAGGTTATTTTCAATTTTCAATATCTCCCCCTATTTACCTTGCAACTTGAGTAATTGAATATTTCGCAATTTCCAAATGGTCTAACAAATGGGAAAAAGTTAGGCTTAAATTGTTATATGAATATATAAGTAACCTAGGAGCCATGGATGAGTTCTAGGAACCATTGGTTGAGTAGAGTAAATTGATGCAAATCTCTAGCTTCCCCTTGGTCTTGGATTCGGTCATGTGGGAGTTTGTAAGGCTAGGAATTGTTAAAAATTGTAAAGAGTATTATAGAAGCTTGGTTGGGTCATTCTAAAACCCTATGTAAGTATAAAATCATGTGGTTACTTGTGGTGCAAGTAATCATCCTTAAATGGTCTAACAAATGAGTTTAAGAAATTACGGTTTTGACTTGTGAATTGGCATATGATTGGCATAAGTGTGAAGAAATGAAAGTAAACAATAAAGTGTATGTCTTGTAATTACATGGCATTGTATCATTTTATTGAGTTTTGTTTTAAATTCCTTCTCTAGGTGTGCCTAGGGACTGTGAGCATTTGGATTCCTTTGGAGCAAGATAAGTAGCTTGTGCTTCAAGTAAGCAAATTATAAAGCTCCAAGAGGTAAGCTCTATGTTTAAGGAGTCTTTTCCTGCTTGAGTGCTCCACCAAGGTTAGTGGACTATGGTTGGATTGTATGATTGTATTTGATACTTTGTATAGATGCATTTATATAGAGCTATATAATAATATGATATGTTTTGTTCTGATGTGATTTCTGTAATGATCTTTGACCATTGATTTCTATGTACACTAATGTCTGCTTGTGGTCCTCCCTCGGGACTAACTGTGTATACCTTTGATATATGTTTGGTTCTGCTCGGGGTCCTCCTTTGGGAACACATACGTTGATTTTCGCTTGGGGTCCTCCCCTGAGAATGACTGCGTACGCTTATGATAAGATATGTATATATGTTTTGCTCAGTTATGATATTTGTTTATATGATGCTTTGTATATTTTGTATCTAACTTTCATGCAGGAGTGGGCCCAGGGTATAGAGAATTCTCTATAAACCTGTAGTTTATTGAGATTTGTTATCTTACCCCGTTTGGGGACATCATTTCAAGTGTTCAGATTCCCGGTGAGCCCTCACGGGGCAGGACACAACCTGTGGTTATAGGTGCTACGACGGATCGAATTTTGCATTGTTGTAGGCTACTGATATTTTGGAGTGTATTTATGTTGCTTTAGTATTTCATTATTTTGGGATCAAGGTGTCTGATCTATTACTTGTATATGGCATGTATATGTCTCGTACATGTGTTTCGTTTTGATGCATATACAATTGTGTATTCAAGCATGCTTATATGATGATGTAGTATTCAAATATGTGTATGTGTTGGTAATGCATGATGTTAGATTTAGTGGCACAGAGCCAAGTTTTGCATGTGCCCATGGATGGGTATGTGATCTCTGATGGATATCTGGTATTTCTGTAATCATAGATTGTATTAACTGTTTATCAGGATACCTTGAGAGTGAGATTCATAAATCCCCATTTGTCCGATTTTCAATTGTTACTCTGTCCAATTTTCTTCTCCGTTAGATGGAATGTAAACTAGAATAAGTTATACGTTGTTATATATCATGTGAAAATGATAAAAGAAAAAGAAAAAGGTAGCTCGTATTTTCGTAAGTTAAGTCTTCCGTTGTTCATATTTAGTATCATATGAGTATTAACTGAACCGGCTAGAGAAGGGGATGTTACACTGCCAGGGTAGAGAATGTTGTGCAAGAGCAAAACAATATGCGTAAGTAGTGAAGAACTTGGATTCCGGCTTAATTTGTATTTATGTTCTGGGGCCTTGAGCCCGTTTTTGAATTGTAATGAATATTGTTGGGTTCCTACCCAGTCGTTGTCTATATAATATTTCCTGACATTTATATTCATCTACTGATTTCATGCTTTACTTTATATCAAACATTCGCTTAATTTGGTCGGCCTTGCAAGCCAGAGTCATTATCATATCTTTACCTTTATATTTTGGTTTTGCTTGCCTAATTTTTTTGGCTCACCTAATTAACTCGGATATATTTGTGAGTTTTTCGCACCATAATAGGTTTATTTTAGTGTGTCTATTAACTCGTATATGATATCTGAATGTTGTTGCTGACCTGAATAAGGTCAATCTATATTATACGAATTCCATATTTTTTTTGTCTAGTATTAATTTTCATGACGTTTCTTTATTTTAACTTAGCAATTTTGAAAATTTTCTATTTGTGAAGGCAAATATTTATTCCTTTGTTCTGTAATCTGAGTTTTATTACCAAGATTTTATCCAAGATGAAGACAATATTGTCACATGTTCGAGTTTGGTTCATGGACCATAATTTTGGAACATTTCGACTTGATCAGAGTCAATTATAACAAATTGATGCTCACCGGCAAGTATACCGATCGCACAAGTAATATAATGATAAGAAAAGTTCGTCTCCACAGGGATTGTGATCATATATCAAATAATCGTTCTTTCAAGAATGGAAGAGTTCAAATAGTTTGTGACAAATATTGTCGATTTGTGTAAAAGTGAGAACTGAAAATAAAGACTTGTTTTTGGCTTTTTGTTATGAGAAATAAAACAATAAAAATGAGAATTGATTTGTGAAAATATGAGAAAAGCATTGTAGCTAGAGTGCACTCACCATATGATCCCCACTTCTTACTTTGGATTGATTTAAAAATACTTATTTATATAATACTCAGATAATTATCATCTAGAATTAATTAGTTAAATTCCAATCCCTTGGCAATTTAACCCTTTAACCTCAATTGGAATCCTAATCCCTTAGTAACCCCTCATGAAAATTAAGCAATGAACACGATAATTAAAGCATCTGGAATTAACATTCGTCTATTGGCGCCAGTTGGCGCCACTTCCAAGAGTCCGCTGC